GTTGTCCTTGCCCAGGATGGGCGAGAGGCCCATGATGACTGAGGCCAGGGCCGACTTGACGTGCTGGTTGGCGTCTGACACCAGCTCCTGGTCAGGAGGAAGGGGGAGCCCTCGGGTCAGGGCAGGCCTGTGGGAGCAAGTGGCCACCAGCCTGCCCTGCCCCTCCCGCCCGTGCTGCTGGCTCTCGGGGTGCAGCGGGCATGGCAGTTCCCACCTGCTTAGTGTTCAGTGACCTCTGCCCACCCCCCACCCCCAGCAGCCCCACCAAACCCCCCAGCTCTTTCTTATCAATATCGTGACTGGGGTGAAAACTCACAAATGGGTTTTTCCACCCAACAATTCATAAGCATTTTGATTTTCAACATTACCCACCAGGTAGGTAACAGCTCTCTTGCAATTCCCCCCGAGTTTGCCTTCCCACCGGTGGCCCTTAGTCCTCCCTGCCTGTCACTGCCTGCCCACCAAGCCTTCTCCCTGAGCATCTGTCCTTTCGGTGTGTATGATGAACGATGGGTGTAGGGCCTGATGGTCCACCCTACAGGCTATGGTGTGACAGTTGAGCTCAGGGGTGAGTTCAGTTCCAGGATCGAAGGGTGACTAAGGGGCTCAGTCAGGGTTAGTCCCCAAGCTCTTTCGATGAACACAGTCAACCACCTCGGAGGAGGGGAAGCGCACTGCCCCCTCCCATCTCCGGTTCAGCTACCACCAGGAGCCCACACTGTCAAGCCCAAGAACATCCTGGCCCCCAGAGGCTGGGTGGTTAAATTTCTGCCTGAGTGGCCCCAGCACCAGAGTCCCACCCTTCTCTCTTTGCCCTTCTCACACCAAGCACACCTCACCTTAATGCAGGGTAGGATCTGGGTCATGATCACGTTCTCCCGACAGTCGGCCGAGAGGTTCTCACAGAACTCTGTAAGGGGGTGGGAGGGTAGTGGGGACAGGTGAGGCTGAAGGCCTGGTTCCAGCCTGGCCCCTGCCACTCTCCCACCCACTTGACAAGTTCTGGTCGCCAGCACCAACCTTTGACCTTGTGGGAGGCGGCGGCCCTCACCTCTGCCTCACAGTCCTTCATCAGGTTCTGGAAGGCGGGGACCAGATCTGTCTTGGTGATCTCAGGCCCCACTGCTTTTTGGAGCTGCAGACAGGAAGAGGGGC